TTTTTTTTTTTTTTTTTGCACTACCCAGTCAGAATTCATTTGCTTTAGACCTAAACCTCTTACAAATTCAGCCCGTTCTACTTTTATCCTTATTGGGCATATCCTTATTGGCAACATCAATTCAAGTTTAAACTGCTATCACCTCTTATCTTCACAATAGTTCTGTATAGGTATTATCAACACATAATAAAATGCATTATTCTTCTCCATTTTTCTTCTCTCCTTCCTGTCAAAGAATTAAACCTCTCACCCCGGGAACGTCTATCTTGGTCGTGTGACCTGTGATCCTCCTTCCTGCTGGAGGGTTATACTCTGGTCCTGTGATTGGTTGTGGCTAATGGGATGTAAGTGACACACGTCCCTGCTGAGCAGCAGGTTTAGTGTCAGTGAACTTCACTACGTCTCTCTGTCCTTCTGCCCAAAGACCGGCCATCCTCAGACAGAGGCTACTCCAGAGCTTCCCTCTCAGAGTGAGACAGTCATGGGCAGAGCCAGGCGAGCTGCAGTGAACATGTAACATTTACTGAGATCACACACGGTAGTTCGCTATCACTGTGTAACCTAATATATCCCAGCTGGCAGCTCCTGTGTGATCAATTTTATTTTCATCAGCATTTGAGAAAATCAATGGAGCGATGTTGAGTAGCACATGCTCAGGTTTTTACCTTCTAAATCCTCACCAGTTCCTCCTGCCTATGCTGTCCCAGTCCTAGTGAAATCTCCCCCTCAAAAAAATATATAATTCAAGTTAACAGACTGGAAAAGAAAGCTCTCTAGCACAGTCAGAGGCTAAAACTCTCACACCCCAAAGCTCAGGTTTCCTCCATTATTATTATATCCCACTACTTCATGGATGTGGAAATAACCCGTCGGAAGTTAATTAACTTGACCAAGGTAACTCTACATATTGCAAATATGGTAGAAGTATATTAGACACCCGGTGTGGGTGAGAACAGTGAGAACAATATTCTCAGATGCTTACAGATAGATAAGTATGAAGGCTTTGACCCTGTACTTCTAAGGATGCATTGATTATTACAAAGTTCAGTTTTTTGGGGGGCTGGAGGGGGAAAAAAGGCACTCTGGCCCCAGCTAGAGTGCTGTGATGATATTACGGCTCACTGCAGCCTCGAACTCCTGGGCTCAAGTGATCCTCCTGCCTCAGCCTCCCAAGTAGCTGGGACTACCGGTGCCCACCACCACCCTTGGCTATTTTTTCCATTTTTTCGTAGAGACAGGGTCTCACTCTTGCTTACGCTCCTCTCAAACTACTGAGTTCAAATGATCTTCCCCCTGGTCTTCTAGAGTGTTAGGATTTTACAGAAACTTTTACTACTGTGTGGATTTCTAGAGAACATTTCATTAACAGATTTTTGTTTAAGTTCTCATTACAGGAATTATTTTAGTGTGTTTAACTTTGTGAAGTATGTATTACCTAAATTACTGGAAGATTGTTATATAAGTTCCTTCAAATAATTTCCTATTAGTTTTTCTAAGTAAATAAACACATATATAAATACAATATTGAAAATACTAAAGTATTGAGTCTCTCGGCAGGTATGGTCTTCTGGAAAGTTTTCTCTTCTTATTAGATTTGTTGAAATATTGACAACAATCCAAACTTTAGGCTCCATTCAACTCTAAATCCCAGTTTTATAGGCTGAAACATGTCGAGATATAAGCAGCTGCTGTGTATATAAGAAGCTGACCTTTCCGTGAAACACGATTGTAGTCAAATGGAAGTTCCCAGAAAAAAAATGAAAGTTTTTTTAATATATATTTCATGGTGGAAACAAATCTGAAAACCACATGCCAACAGTGATTTATATTCTCCTTTCCCAGGTAGCCACTAATAATATAAAGATTGACCTCAATAATATTGCAAAACACTCTTTCCTCCTTTTTTGGAAAAAATAGAAAGGAAATTTTATAATAGTGAATTTTATCTATACCTTCCCTCTAAGCTATCTAAATTGTCTTCAAAATATTTATTACTCTGAGAATTATACTAGTATTATTTTGGTGATTATAAAGTACTTGTCATAATTTTAAAGGCACAGTTCTGATAGCATACTTGGTATCCTGATGTCTTTCAGAGGCTAAGAGATCTTTGTCATTTTTATGTATTTTAAATGACTATTTGGGAAAATTAGGTATGATTTTTATAAATAGTTATATGAGAATTTCCAGCCTCATGCTCAAGAACTTAAATAATTAAAGTGTTACTCTATCCTCACAGGAAACAATTTTAGACATCTTACTATACACATATAATTTCACTAATTGTTTATTATAATGTTTGCTATTTTTATTACTGTTATGAGCAATTGAGTGTCTACTATACACCACAATTTCAGGAACTATGCATTAGGTTCATTTTACATGATATGTCATTTAAACCAAAGAATTGTCATGAAATAAAGATTTATATACCTATTTTAAAGTTGAGACAAAATAAGATTATAGAATTTACAGGAAACACAACTACAAAATATCTAGGATTCAAAATAAGTTTGATTTCATTTGAAAATAGGTTTTCTTTTTCCTTGGCAGTGTGCCTGTGACTATCTCAAATTGTCTTTATTGAACAATCCAGAGAGGTTGGATTTCAAATTCCCTAATTGAGAAGAACACAGGAAGGCTTAGGATATATAACTAAGAAGTATATTTGGATTGTATGTGACGAGGTAACCTCAGCCTTTCTCCTCTGAGAAGGGTCAACAACAATCTCAAGAAATCACAGTTTCTGATGAAAAAGTAATGTGTGCTCAATCTCCAACTCAATTTTGTAATTCTTTTAATACAGTAAATACCATGTATTAAGAATGTGCTAAGATTTGAGAATATAAAGACAAATAAAACTGTCAACTTGAAATCCTAGTTCTTGGGAGGCTGAAGTGGGAGGATCCCTTGACCTCAGGAGTTCAAGGCCAACATGCACAAGAGAGAGACCCCATCTCTACTAAAAATAGAAAAATTAGCTGGGCATTATCATATGCCTATAGTCCCAGCTACTGGAGAGGCTGGTGCAAGAGGATTGCTGAAGCCCAAGAGTTTGAGGTTGCTGTGAGCTATGATGACACCACTGCACTCTACCCAGAGGAACAGAGTGAGACTCTGTCTCAAAAACACAAAACAAAACAAACTTGTAGTCTTGATCTCAATTATCTATTTTTATAGTGAAAAAGAAAACTTTTAAAACAAATGATTCAGAAAAACATCATACATAAATATGCTTATCATAGTATTATGCATGATAGCACAATTTTTGAACAATAGGAGTATGTTTAACTAAATAATGATATATTCACATAACAGAATGTACACATCGATTCAATTGCTGGTTGTGAAGAGTCTGTAAAAACATGAAATTGTGTTTACAATTTAATATTATATGAAAAAATAACATACAACGATTTGCTCCCATCATCACCTATGTATAAATGGCTTAAGAGATTTGATGGGAAAATAGCATAATATATCTGTTTCATACTCTACACCAGTGGAGCAATTGAAAATGCATTTTTTTCTGTATGTTAGTAGTATCCTACAATCGTTCTGTTCATCTATCTTATACTGTAAATGCATGAAAAGGAGTTAGTTTGACTCAGATACCAGACAGTGCTCTGAAACAGTAGGCGTCAGACATCCACTGTTTCCAGAACCTTCTCTTCTCGCCTTGCCCCCTTCCTCCAGTTCACTTTTCCTATGTCTAATGGATCTTGGCATCTTCTGGAAGGCCTCTTGCTCTCACATGCTCCGGCTGCA